ATATGGCGCCAATCAAAAAGGTCAGATACTGTCAGAAAGGGTGTGAGAGTGAGACAGAGACAGTCCAGTCAAAAATGGATTATGGCTTTGAAACCGAGTGTATTTTGACTTGTTCTTCCAAACTGTCTCGCAGGAAAACACTATAACTCAAATGACGCCTTCTTTTCACCTGTAGACCTACTTGCATTATTATGCTGTTATATTATGATTATATACTTATTCAGTGGCATAAAATGATCTTAAAGAGGAACTTGCCAACTCTAGTCATTTCTTCGCTGATTTTCAGTTTTGCTGCCGCATGTTTTCTCATCGAGCTCCCCCTACACCTGTGGGCGTATTTCACAACACTGTCTTAAAAAAAAAAACTCACTTGTGGCCTCTATGCTTGCGGCACCCTCCTCCCTCTTTCTACCACTGCTCATGTGCATTTGTTATCGGAGCTGGCCAACTTTATCGTGTGGAGCTGTGTCTACCAAGTGGGTAATACATCGTACACAGGATCATAGAATTATGTCGAACTGTCATAAAGCAATTTGTGTTTCTCGTTCATTCTCGCTTCTCATGAGACTTCCTATTTCCAACTTACCAGGACGTTAGTCCCCATGATGCAACAATGGTTTTCCACCTGGTAACGCTGGGGGAGTGGGGAAAGTCAACATTCTCTCCAGAACAGGTTATTAAACCATCCAAATTATTTCTAAACGGTTTTAAGTTGAAATAGTTGCCAAGTGCCCCTTTAAAACGACAATATCGTTTATCACAATTATTTCTGTGACAATATAATGCACAAAAACTAGTTATGAAAGAACTAGTTAAAAAAAACCACTGCATACTAAAAAAAATTCCTATTAAAAGTAAAAATCATAAAGAAGCCCTAAAGAGGAATGGTGATCAGTAGCCATGCAATACATATGGTGTCATTGAACTTGAAGACAAAAAGGACTTTCTTAAAGCTTGACCACAGGTCACTATTGTCACATCTGGTCTCTGCTGGAACCATTCAATGATAAATAACTCTTGTTAACATGTATCCAAAATACCTAATGAAAACATAATCATCCACATGAAGTCTCTGCTGTATTTACAAAGAAAGAAAGAAAGAAAGAAAGAAAGAAAGAAAGAAAGAAAGAAAGAAAGAAAGAAAGAAAGAAAGAAAGAAAGAAAGAAAAGAAAGAAAGAAAGAAAGAAAGAAAGAAAGAAAGAAAGAAAGAAAGAAAGAAAGAAAGAAAGAAAGAAAGAAAGAAAGAAAGAAAGAAAGAACATAACAAACAACAGAACCAGAGACAAGACAATGTCTTACAGAGGAAACAAGGTCCCCGGGGAGATTGAACAAAACTTTAGGGCACAAACAAGAAAAAGGTCATCCAGACAGATCCACACCTCAAATAGACAAGATAAATAGTTCCTCCTGGAAAAAACATAGCCATGTCTTCAAGCACAACTTTTGTAGTAGGCTTGTTTAGGGATAAACAGTAATACTAACTAGAGGAACTAGTGATTAAAAATACCAATAACTTAAACTAAGGACTTTCTACCATGAATAATTACTAGTATTGAAGTACAATACATAAACTTAAAAAGGCCAATATTTAAACCAATAACCATTGAAAATTTTGAGATCATTTTTTGAAAGAATTTAAGGGTGCAGTAAATTGACCAAAAGTGGCAGTAGACATTCACAAATATTACAAAATATTTCCATTTTCATATGAATGGGTTTTTTTTAACTCTATAATCCTGAATCTTGGTTTCCACTTGATCATTTTAAATGTTTCTTAAACAGAAAATAAGCATTAAATGATTTCTGAAGGATCATGCGACACCGAAGACAATTTACTTTGCAGCACAAGAATAAAATAAATTTCAAAATCGAAAACAGGTATTTTAAATTGTAATAATATTTCACAAGATTACCGTTTTTACTGTATTTTTGATCTAATAAATCATATTAGGCTACATATGAAATGCTCTTGGTGTGAAATGTTTCCTGGATATAATGTCAATAATACACACCATTGCATTACATCATCACATAACCATTTCACCTCATTAAGAGAAACTCACCAAACCTGAATAACTGAATGTCCTGTAGGCCTACATTCCCTGTTTTCATATGCTTCTCGCCCAGTACAGTGGAACAGGAAGCCAACTCAAGAGCAGACAAAACACATAACATAATGTAGACTAGAGCACGATGAGCCACGTTAAACACGCACCCCACTCCGTCTCTCTTAGACAGAACCAAAAAAAAAAACGTGCGAACTCCTGCCCACAATTTTCAGACAACAAACTATATACGTTTTGGATTCCCATGTGTGCGCATTATTGACAGTTGGTCTACAACAGTATGGGGTGAGAATTGTTGCATTATTCCAAATAAATAGATGAAGATCCACAAATAAATGTAAAGAGTTTCCCAAAAAAATATAAAACTCACAAATAAATAAAACGAGATTTGCAAAAAATATATATTTACAAATGTTTTTTTATGCCTCAAACACATCTCTGCCTAGTATTTATTTGTGACTCGGTTCATGTGCATTTGTAAATCTTCTCACGCATTTGTGGATTTTGAAACGCTTCTAGCGTAGAGGTGCAGACAAAGCCACAAATAAGTGGACTCCACCCACCGTTTCCTCAAGCCAATAAGATAACGGCCATATTGAGCTGACCAATCTTAGCATGTTCTCGCTACAACCAATCCTTTGTTGTAGCGATGGAATTGGTTGTATCAATTAATCATCTGCATTGTAGCATACTACATGCTGTTACATCTTCAATGATGGTCATTTGGGCTGATATTTGGTATTCTACATAATATGTATGTCCTATAGCTAGCTATTTGTCACCACGATTGTACTTTAAAAGACAAATCATCAGTTTTGTAATTTCTTACATTGTGTCTGTCTACCCCGTTTGAGTCTGTCTAATGTTACACTGGACAAAGCAAAGGTGCAAATGAAGTGTCCTCCGTGTAGCCGCTACTTCAGAAGAAGAACGGGCATCCGTTTACTATCAATGAATCATCGTGTCGCGCTGCGCCGCGTCCAGTGTATAGCCTACATTATCACGAATTATGAATTGTGCATGTAGCCAGCTCTAGTCAAGAAGGAAGATTAGCCAAGAAGATAATGGGCCATTTGCTTCTGACGCGCCGCTTGATTCCGGTGTACAGGGTGTTATGCTCAGGATGGTGATCACAATTTGTGTGTAATCCTGAGTTTATCCTAATGGAAATGTAAAAAATTTAACTCCAATAACCTTTTGGAAACAGGGTTTTTTAACCACACAAACAGTTAAATTTGAATGAAGCACCCATTTGTTTACAGCTCGATTTCAGGGGTGTAAATTAGAGCCCGACCGATAAAGGAATTTGAAGGCCGATACAAATATTTGTAGGTTTTAAAATCCGATATTCCGATATATCGGCCGATATTTTTATTTCAGAAACGCACAACAAAACATTAACAGATTTCCCTAACATTAGTTATTTGTAGTTATTTATGAGTTTTAACTAAAATAATATGATAATGCATTTTAAAAAGAAACTTGTTTCTTTTATTGTCCCAACAGAACAGACGGATGATAGTGGCATTAGCTAGTTTTGTGGTTAGCTAGTCTATGATGAGCCATAATTTAGCAATGGATAATGTCATACTGCAAATTGTAAAATATACATTTTCAATATAACATGCCAAGGAGAGATGATTTGTCTCATTGCTATAACTGTCACGCACTATTAAAGAAATACTTCAGTCACATTGTCAAAGTTAAAAGGACAGTCAGTCAACTACACTGTAACAACGTAACGTAACTATTTCGAGCTAATTCCGCTTCACTCTTGGCTTGTTTAACAGCAGCAAAACACTCATGACATGGTTGAAGCGTGTTTCGTCCGTTTTTATTTTATTTTTCAAATATTCATTTATCGGCCATCAACTGCCGATACCAATAGTTTGGAAAATGCCTAATATCGGCCGATAATATTGGTCTGCCGATATATCGGTCTGGCTCTAGTGTAAATATCTTCAAAATTAGTCAGATCTGGGTCCGCTCAATGTGGCCGTTTGATTGTCTTGAGGAAACGGTGGGTGGAGTCCACTAATTTGTGGATTTGTCTGCACCTCTAGGCTAGAAATGTTTCAAAATCCACAAGTGCGTGAGGAAACAGATGCACAGGAACCGATTCACAAATGTACGAGGAGATTTACAGATGCACAGGAACCGATTCACAAATGCGTGGGGAGATTTACAAATGCACAGGAACCGATTCACAAATGCACAGAAAGCGGCTCACAAATAAATGCCAGGCAGAGTTGTGTTTGTGGCATAAAAACATTTTTAAATCTCATTTTATTTATTTGTGTCTTATATTTTTTTGTTAAAATCTTTACATTTATTTGTTGATCTCAATATATTTATTTTAGAATTTGATATATTTTTGTTAATCTCTTTACATTTATTTGTGGATCAAAACCTATTTATTTGGAATAATGCAACAATTCTCACCCCATAGTCAACAATATTCAGTAACGCGAGAAAAGTTACTGCAATAATTTCACACCACTTCGACACATTTAGCTAAAGTACTGGCAGAAGTGCCATTTTTAATCAACAGGTAGCATACCTAGCGAATCGCAAACTCTTCCAGTGATCAATATTCACTTAAATTGTCTTATTGACAATTATCTTAAAGTAACATTTCGTGCTACACAAATTGACATAATCAGAATGGCAGTCTTTCATCACATCTTTTCTCCATAATGGAAGTGAATAGTGACTGAGACTGTCATTTTACCTTTGGAGTTCCGCTTATGATAGAAAGTCGCATTACGTTTGAAACAACATGACGGCTAGTAAACGATGACAGAATTATCGATGAACTATCCAGCTTTCATATGGATTATGAAGAAAACAAGATACATTCGTGTGTGGAACTCGTCTTTTTCTACGTGTTTTGCACCTTAAATGGGTCAGGTCTCGTAAACCGTGTTTCCTACCTTATTTATGGCAGCTTTAGCAGACATGTAGATATCTTGTTGGCTCCCGGCGTAGCAAGTGACTGTTGTTCAATATCACTACACCGAAAGTTACAGCCCAAATATATTCCTCCTTCCTCCTGCCCAGCAGCCGCCACAGCGCCGGGCAAAGCGGGTTTATTTCTTCTGACCGCCAAAAGACATGTCAACACAACAGAAACCCAGCAGTCCAAAGTTCATCATCTATTATTGCGCGTGAAACTTCCGAAGCTAACTTACTTGAATACTCTGCCGATAGCCAGGCTTTTTTTTTTTCTAATAAAGTGACAAACAAAAAGGAATCAAGAAAACCTCGCTGTTCTACAGTCGACCGCACCAGAAAGAGTTTAATAATATCGATTATGCGAAATGCGAAGGTCCCACAGCAGTTTGAAACGGATGAGCTCGATCCTCGCTTCTCTCCTCTCCCAGCAACAATCATGACATGTCTGACTGGGAGGGTCCATTACAGTTCTGCGGGGGTGGTGGGGTGGTAACCGGGACAGGGTGAGCCACGATCCAAGATGTGTCATTTTTACTCTGTATGTGTATGGAGAGGTTTTATGTGTTAATTTCGCCAGTTATGTCATAAATGTGTGATTATTTTACAGCAAACAATAGATGCAAAAAAAATAGAAACTAAAGGGACGCCCCCGTGCCTGATCTTTTCGTTTTGACCGGGGAGCGGATGGGATGGAGAGAGGAAAGCAAGTTAAAGTGGAACACAGTTGTTGATCTGTGCTTTGTTTTTTGGTGTTAGAATTTTAAGGAGAAGTAACCTGTATTTAACACAAAACATTTTTGACATAAAGAAATGATAACAATTGTTTTGATTGGCAAACAGTAATTTTTAACTAAAATTCCAAAATATGGGTCAAACAATTAGGAGTTTTTTAGATGATTAATAAAAAAAGAAATAGAAATATAATATAGGAATTAAGTGATTTTTAGTTACTCCGTAATGCAGTTCAAAACCAATATCCTTATTAAACATACTAATAATATCTACCAAAACTTAGACTTTCTTTTAATTTTGAAGACTTATGAGATTGTGTGGTTTAACCTTTAGATCAAGTTTTTTTTCGTCGATAACAAACCACTCAGGAAACCAAAACGGGACATAATTGCTGCAATGTAGACCACTTCCTGTGGTTTCCGGGCCCCCTCCCATAGGACAGGGCCTAAGAATGCTGTTTGTATTGTTTTGAAATCAGTATTATGGGCTGTACTTTTCACTATAAAACGTCAGCTCATGTTTGCAACTGATTAAAAAAAAAATCACAAATGCACAATTTATAGCCAAATCAATCATTTAGTTGTCAGAGATAATACATTAATGGTTAAGATCCCTGAAAAAAAACTTTGTAATCTGAATAAACCAAATCTTACATTGAAGACACTGTGTTCCCTATTAAATTCATGACGGCTAATGTTCACAAGGCCGGTAATATAGATGTAATTCCACAAATACTTTGATGATTGACAGACAGGTCCAGGGGAGAGGCTATAAGGATATTTTGGATTAGTCATGCTGCGAGATAAATTCTTGTCATAGACCAGACCAGAGGGTTAAACCAAAAATAACTTTTTTGTAAGAGGTCACATTCTCCCATAGCTAGGCTTCAGGAATTAGAGAGGGAAAAAAGTGAGTGATAGGAAAGAGCTATAAAACAAAGCTTTTCAATGACCAATAAAGTATGTAAGCCCACAATGAAATGAAAAAACCTATACATTTATTATCAAAATTCTTAGTGCCGTCTCCACACCAAATTTCGACATAAATAGAGGCATTTTTTATTAATTACCATGTGCTAAATAAAATTAAATGTTACAAGGGAGGATGATGAAATATTTGCATGGGAAAAGCCATGAATGACTAGACCAGATATAACTTAAAATGAACTGAAACACAAACACATCTAATTACCAGGAATCCTGACTATCACTGAACCCAAGAAACACATAAAAAACAACACAAAGAAATAGAATGATAAATACTGCCAATGAGGACAATCGCTCAATCCTCCTCCATCGCATGTTACGATCCGCATCGAGCAGCGAGGATATCAGGATATTCAGCATGCTGTCTGTTAGTACAGGCAAATCAATCTCCGATTCCTGAAAACCTCAGAACGTCCCTTTCATGTCTTCAAAAACCCAAGTAAATGAGTTTAATGTAAGCCCAAGATGAAGAGGACTGCTATAGCTCGAACTGTAGAGTGAATGGTTCTGTGAGAATGGAGCAGAAAAAGAGAGTTAGTGACAGAAAAACACGTTTGAAGGCAGCATTGTCGTGCATGGTTACCCTAAACGGCTCTCGACACGGCGCAACCTGAGGCTTCGCATCAGCCGTAGAGCTCAGGTGTGCTCATGGAAGAGCAAGCACTTGGAAACATTCCCTTGGCCATGGCCACACACACACAAACAGCGTGAGGCATGCCAGTAGGCTTGCCTGCCTGTAGTTAGAGTCTAATGGACAGTGAAAAGTGTAGATTACATGCTCTGCTCCACCAATGCTCCTCTCAATGTGCATATCTTGATATCAATGTAGGTGGAATGTAATCACAAAAATAATTGTTTATAATTCTAGAGAAGAAATCATTTTAAAATGTTAAAGTGAAAACATGTTTTATAATTGGAAAAAAATACATTTAACATGACAATAAATGTTGTTTCTGTAAGTGTAAAATACTAAAAATGATAGTTTTTGGAATTAGAAATGTATGAATGCATTGCTATTTACAACATACAAAAATACAATAATATTATTATTCAAGGTAATTTTAACGTTAAATTATTATTACAATTATTAAAATACTGTAAAAAAATATTTACAGTTTAAAAAAAAGCTGTTTTCTATTGTAATCTATTTAAAAATGTAATTTAATCCTGTCATGTCAAAGCTGAATTTTTAGCAGCATATACATTTTTCAGTGTCACATGATCCTTCAGAAATCATTCTAATATGCTGATTTGCTGACAGGTACTGTAACATCTCTTTTTATTATTATCAATGTTGTGCTGCTTAACATTTTTGATACTTTTTCAGGATTCTTTAATTTAATGAATCATTAAAACTGTATTAATTTTTGTTTTGTTTTTATTAAATAAATGCAGCCTTGGTGAGGATATAAGAGTCTTCTACATTTTAATGTATCCAAACTTTTGAGAGGTAGTTGTAGCATATACACAATCGTTATACAAACACATACAGCCAAAATGTTCACTTTATTTAGTCTATTCACTTGATTTTATCAGTCATGCACATTAGGGTGTTTTATTACATATTATGTTACTTAATGTTACTTAAAAACTTAATGTGATAATGTTTATTGCATTATTTTAGTGTTGTGTGTGTTGCCTTGATGATGCTGGTTCATGGAATGAACATAAATGTATAAATCATCGATGTAATTGCCAAAGGCCTTAAGAAACTTTGATTTACAGCAACTGCAACACTTCACAATCTCAGCTGAAGGATTCCAGTAGAATGAAGCACCATGGAGAAGAATAAACATAAAAAGAGTTCAGAGCTGCACCTCTTCGAGCAAAAACAACCAGAAACTGCCAACAGATGGGTCTGATACAGTGTTCTCTTTTATCTGTTCTTCTCTTGGCTACACTATGTTGACATCACAATTTTCTGTGCTTTCTTTCCCTTTCCATCAACATGCTTAGGATTGTACTCCTTTTTATTTTATTATCTAAAAACATGCTCTAGTTGATCAATACATAGGTGAGTAGTTTGGAGAGTAACATTATTTAATGTGCATGGGGGAGGGCAGAGAATAGAGGAGACAATTATCCAGTTTCACTGTTTGTCTTCATCTGTGCTGAATTAAAAACCAATAGACCATATCTAGTTTCAAGAGGCTTTATTTACTTTGGAAGTTCTTGCCTTGCCCTGTTTCCACAGCAAACGAAAACCCTCTGGAGGTCAGGCGATAAACTCGGCTAAGATTCGGAGATCCTTCTGAGAGTCTAATACAAATCCAAACCACCAATTAAATTGTTACTCAACTAAGATTATTTAGAGACAATAAGCCATATACTTTATAATATAGTTTTATACTTGACATCCATCAAACAATACAATTTCAAGGCACTTTTTACCCAGAAGAGATGCCGTGTGGAATGTGACTGTCAAAGTATCACAATTAGAATTAGATCTATGCATTTATTTCCATTCAAAGTGAAACTGGTAGAAAAAGAATAGGCTTAAAAGATTCCTTATCCTATTGCTTCCTCTAGTGGACAACATTAATATCACAGCCATCATCTTTCAGTTGAAATGGCTGCTAGTTTAGAGTTTGGTGTTAACCACCAAAACATCATAAATTCATAAAACTAAGTTTTCTGATTGCTCAGAATAGGGCTTTCAAAATAAAAGTTTGTGTTTACATAATATATGTGGGTGCACTGTGTATAATTATTTTGTATATATATAAATACACACACATGCATGTATATTTAAGAAAAAAAATATTATTTATATATAAAATATTTATATTTACAAATCATATAAATTATATATAAATCTATATACAGTATATACACAAACATTTTTCTTAAATATATACAAGCATGTGTGCGTATTTATATATAGAAAATAATTATACACAGTGCACCCACATATATTATGTAAACACAAACTTTTATTTTGGATGTGATTAATCACGATTAATCGTTTGACAGCCCTAGCTCAGAATCACTTGGTCTCCATAATATGTACAAAGTTTTGAGAGGTATGGACTTTGTACACACCAGATATAGGCATAATAGTCATAACGGGCAAAACTCATCAAATAAACCTGGCCTTTCTGCTACGATTTAATGGATCTATATTTATTTTGCTCTAGAACAGATGTATTTGAAGTTTAGAGAAAATCTAAGAATCGACCAAGGAGGAATTCAGAAGCTATGAGATATACATGACTTAAAGCAAGATTTTTTATTAAATCACTCACGGTGGTGGAGTTGTTAGCAAAAACATGAAGCAGAGAATAGTGTCACTTTTTAGTGTCACTCCGATTTGACATTATTAGCTGGTAAAATTTAATTGCTTGCCTGCCCTGTGGCCATTTTTTTTGTAGCCAACAACAAAAAGAAAATCAGTACAAACACAATAACGGTTAATCATAGTTCACAGAGCCCCAAGTGGCCTGTCCTTTTAAACCTGACGGTGGTCCCAAACATAGCTATTCCACACAAATATACCAACACACAGCAGCTATAAATCAAACACTGACAGGAAACAAAATTTAGCTTTAGTTCATGGTGTGAGTCGCAGGGGAATGCAGCAGAGAGGAGTCTGTTTATTCTGAGATTAAATGACCTCTGATGCATGGAGCAGTGGGACACTGAAATTTAGCTTTGCTGAAAATTACAAAAAGAAAAAAGGTTGATTAAAAGTGCATTGCAATTACATTATGTGACGCTTTCA